AAATTCGCGTAAATGAAAAAATTACTCAAATGAAAACTTAGGAAAATTTGAAATCAAAAGTAAAGCTTGTTCAAAAGACATGAAAACGTCATGCAGGTGAAAAACTGTGCAGGAATTTCTATTATCAAGTAAAGATAGCAATCATCATTTAAATGTGATATCTCATTTAATAAAAGAAAATCGTATAAAGGAATTGATATTCGATTAACAGAAAATAAGAAAAGGAAAAATGTTTACATTTGTGTAAAAAAATACATTACTGCTAAATAATTGTTATATACAAAGAAATGAATTGATTTTATATTTCCAGCTTATTAAATCGTTTTAGGTTATTTAAAGCCGAAACATTTTTATTTATTTATTTACTAGCAGCATGTGCCGTGTGTCTTCAGGAAATTGGCAATCATGGCTCTCCACAATATCCTATCAATATCCTTAACATTTTATTTCTTTTTGTTATCTGTCCTAAACTTTTTTCCGCTATCCATTTACTCATGCTCGCTAGGTAGGTTATGCATTGTTTTCCTCTCTTCTTCTTGTCTTCTATCTGTTCTGTGAGTATGAAATTTTCCAGTCCCTATTTCCTCATAATGTTCCCTAGAAATAAATATATAAACTTGTGTTTTGGTAGATATAAGAACGCATATTTATAGACGAACCATGTAACTGCTTTCTCGCTCTTTCCCCCTTAATCTCTTACCTTTAATAGGACCTGTGAGTATCAAATTATCCAAGCACTCTTTCATGATTATATATATATACCATAAACATTAATTGTTTCTTTCTCATCCGGAGCCCAAATTTCCTTTTTGTTCTCATTTAACGTCAAACATTCTCTTTACTTACATATCTGTCCATACTATTCACAGTATCCTTCTGTAGAACCACATCTGTTGCCTCATGTTCCGTGGGAAGCAGTACTTCTTCTATGTATCGCGTGCCTTCAAGCGTTCCTGACTCTCCACGACTTCCTCTCCCTTGTGGTCCTCAGTCGCTTTTCTCTCTTTGCTAAGATTCTCGTTCCTAATTCCTTCATCCATTTACACAAGCTTCTCAAGTAATTAACTCATTGCTTTCCTGTATCTTTTCTTGCCATTACTGTGGCCTGTGAGGGTTAAGTTTTCCGAGCCTTCCTTCCTCGTTATGTGTCTAAGGAATACCAGCTGTCTTTTCCTGATTCTGAGTATGTGTCCTTTCTGCTGCCATTTTCTTTAATACTTCCTTGTTGCTTACTTGCTCCATCCATGGAATTCTCAGTATCCTTCTGGAGAACCACATTTATTCTGCCACTAGTTTTATTTCCTCGCCCATAGAGAGATTGTTCAAGATTCACTGCCATACTAGAGGATGGATATCAATCCAGAACTCTTTTATTTGCTTCAAACGATATTTTTCCGTTTCTCAGCATTTTGCTTGGCTTTTGGAATGATTCTTTCGCTAGTCCAATGCGTGTTTGGATCTCAGTGTCACATTTTCCATCCTCTGTTAAAACATTTGCAGGATATTTAAATTTCTGCACCTGCTTGATGCTAATACCTTCAATTTGTAACTCGCATCTTGGGTTTTTTCTCTAGCTGACTACCGTACTTTCAGATTTCTTGCAATGGATAGTTAGTCCTTTTTTCTCCCTTTCTTCTACTACCCTGTCTTGAAGGTCTTGTAGTTTTCTTGTCGAATCAGACGTCTCTGAATGCTAAGGCCAGAAAAGAACGAGAAGACGAAGTAAACGGCAGAACGGATTTTGTTCATTATAATTCTCTGCTACGAGTTCATTTGCTATTATATTGAATTTGATCTATATTGTGCCCCGCTTCTGTGTCCTTCCTCTTCTTCTATGTGTCATTTCTTTTCAGGACGTGATGGATTATGACTCTCCACAACTTTCTATCCTATGTAGCATCTATGTTATCTCTGGTCTTCTATCCATTAATTTCGTGAGGTTGTTTTTCCGCTACTTCGCTAAGCCCCTTCTGCATCTAGTATGCCCTGTGGGTGTCAAATTCTCTAAAACCTCTTTCCTCATTATGTGCTCTGTAAACTTCAACTGTCTCTTTCTGATTTTAAGTATAAACGCCTTTTGATTCCATTTTCCTTAAAAGTTCCTCGTCACTGACATGTTCAGTCCATGGTATTTTCGGAATCCTTCGGAAGAATGACATTTCTATCGCCTCAAGTTTCTCCTTCATCTTTAAAGAGATTTCCAAAAAGATCAAACTAACATTTTTTAAACGTTTCACCCCAAAGCCAGCCGACTATATCACTAAAATGCAGAGAGGGCATAGGGAGTGAAAGAGAATGAGATAATTTTAGTGAAAAGAAGTGGGAAAAGGATAATAAAATGACAGGTTTCAAGAAAACAGAAAAATGGCGATTGATGTTGCATTTAAATTTTGAAGTTATGCAGGGAAGTAAGAAATTGGAGTGAATTCCACATGCAAGAAGTGTGAGAAAAGAAACTATTAAAATTGAACTGACGGCTATATCTAGCTAGTTCAACAGTAAAACTCTGAGACCTAATTACCAATCTAGTAGTATGGTTAAATTCATGCAGTCGTGGCACTATGAAGAACAGCTCCTCAGAACAATCGCCATGAAAATATTTGTAGAAAAGACCGAAGGAAGCCACGTTACATCGGTGGGAAAGTGACTGAAGTAGAGTGACACGTCAGGATTGATTACATTACAGACCCCTTCTTAGAATTTTGTCAAGAATCTCGAGTTAATGAGTAGGAGCCCCAGACTAAATATTGCAGCAGGGACGAAGGATAGATTTATGAATGTGAAATAACGATTCAGACAAGAATTGTCTGCAACAACACAGCGAGCCAACCTTCTTTGCAGCAGACATAGCAATTGATTCAATATAGAGAACTTTTATTGCATAACAGTAAAGTGATCTTTTCTTTTTTCTAAATTTTCCTGTTTCTGAATACGTTGCTTAGCTTTTGGAAAGCTCGCTATTCCAATGTACTTACAGATTTTGGTGTGGAATTGCCCGTTCTCTGTTAAGTAAATAACTACTGGAGTTTTTTTGTTGGACAATATTTTGCAACCAAGATTTAGAATATTAAGTTTTACGGCAGGCATACCCAGCTCAATTGAAAGCTTGTCGCAACGCTGTTTTCCTACCACCATTAACACATATGTGGTCATTTGGTACAATATGTTGTAAATAGAAAGTGCAACTGTAAGCGTCTGTACGTAAACATGTCTTGATAAAAAAAAAAACTTCTAATTAGCTGATATTCGGGATGGGTGAATGCTACTTAAATTAGCCCGAGGCAAATTTAAAAGACACATTGCAAAAGTTAAATAAAATCTTACATTCTACAGAATGGTTAATGTTTTGACGGAATTCGTTACTGGAAAACAAAAACCATTGTGGCTTGACTCAATGTTTCTATCATTTTAGCTGCACGGCATACAGTTTTATAATTCACAGTTATCATACATTTTTTTTTTTTTTTACTACTGGATTCTTCGCGTTATTTTCAGTGTCTTTGAAACTATTGTGATATTGTGCGTTGTCTCTTAATAAATGGATGTAAATTTCTTTTCTAAACACGACCCAAAACTGGCTGGGATAAATAGAATTGCTCTTTAGAACCAAAACAAGTGTGTTTATTAGAAAAGGCCACAAAATAATAATGTAAATTTCTTCTTATGATCTGTATTTGTTATTTTCTTCACGAAACACGCACACACTTATTCACACACGTACGACCGTGTTATATATATATATATATATATATATATATATATATATATATATATATATATATATATATATATAAAGAGAGAGAGGGATGGGGAAGGAGGTTGGAGGGAGATAGCTAGCTAACTAGATAGATAGATAGATAGATAGATAGATAGATAGATAGATAGATAGATAGATAGATGGGCGTGTTGTATCGGCCCAGAATGTGGAATCGGAGAAAGAGTTTTTTTTTTTTTTTTTTGAGGCAGGAGTAAATTGTAGTGTCTTCCGCGTAGATGCCTACTTGGGAATCAATGGCGTATATATATATATATATATATATATATATATATATATATATATATATATATATTATAATTATCAGATCTTTATTGCAAATCTTATGAAGGAAATCAGTCTGGTATGAGGATGTGGATTTACCAATTGCACATTCACCTACACTCTTTTCTATCTACTAACCTTTATGATAATAGATTCCAATGGGACTAACCGTAGGTATATTGTCCATGTATTTTGTACATAAAAGTCAAAATCTACTCATCTGTCGATCAAAAAATTGTGTATTGTTATGTTTTTTTGTCGATCATTTTTTCCTATCCATCTATTAACAAACTGTTTGCCTGTTGTTATTTGGACACAAACATGTATTTTAGCAATGATGGTTAAAGTTTATCAACATACACGTGAGGGCGATATTACTACTGTGATAATGAAAATAATACGCACACGCACACACACACGTGTAAGTATTATTTTGTGAGAGAGAGAGGGTGTGTGTGTGTGTGTGAAAGAGAGAGACAGAAAGAGACAGTATGCGTTTCAGAGAGAGAAAGAGATAGTTCATAAGTGTGTGTGTGTGTGTGTGTGTGTGTGTGTGTGTGTGTGTGTGTGTGTGTGTGTGTGTGTGTGTGTGTGTAAGCCATCGATTGTCCATATTCATCAACTGGAACTAGTAAGTCGTTCAAGGGTATCTTCCAGAAAGACATTTGCTGTAAAGGCAACCCCATCAAAGCCAAGTGGTCCCATGCGGTAAACAACTTGTGTGACAGAATTAGTGAGCCCTTACGGTAAAAGGCGTTCTGGAAAAGAACCCTCGAACAAAAGACTGTTTCCAGTTCACTCTGAACAAATGATGGTTCACTTCAGGTAACTGTATACAAGGGAATAAACTGATGGATAGGTCGATAAATACAAGCGTGTACTAAAATGTTTAAACCAGGAACCACATTACATAATTCGACCAAACATTTTTTTCTTGGGCTGGGAATTTTCAGCAGTTCTTTCATATAGATAGATAGATAGATAGATAGATAGATAGATAGATAGATGTTATATACAAATTGAGGAAAAACATGCAAAAAGAATGTGCATTACTAGAGAATGTTGAAAGTTTGTCATTCTGAACAAGAAGCCTCATGTAAAGCCTTTGATTATGTGAATTTTGTATAGAATTTGAGAGTTGAGTCAGGCCAGGAAATTTCCATTGCCACTTTGTTGATATATAGATAGAAAGATCTGAAGTGTATAAAATATTCTATGAAATTAGCATTTATTTTGCACAACAAATATGTATTTTCAACATAATATTCTTCTATGTCAAAACAGTTAATACCGTAGTGAATATTAATATTATACAGTGAAATAGATCAATCTACAAATTTAGTAAGCCATCCACACAGATAGATAGATAGATAGATAGATAGATAGATAGATAGATAGATAGATAGATAGATAGATAGATATGAACAGACGCTGATGGACAGATCGAAAGGATAGATATGAAAGGACTGTGATATATCGATATGAACAGACTGTGATAGATCGATATATAGGTATGAACAGAGCGTGATAGATAGATAGATAGATAGATAGATAGATAGATAGATAGATAGATAGATAGATTCAAAGCCTAATAGTAAAAGTACATTTATGTCTATTTTACGCAACAAATATTTTCAACATAATCTCCTTCCTTTTTTAATGAATTTAATTCAGTTGTGCAGGAATTTAAACGTGCTACTAGGTTTGCATCTTGGTCCCACCATTTTACTGTCGAAACAATTAATTTAAATGTAACCACCTCTTCTACTCCAGCTTCTTCTCTCGCACTTTGCGACAGCCTCTTGCGTACTAGTGGCACTCCCGCCTTGCTTTAGAAGAATTGCTTAAAAAATATCGGCATTGTACAGCGAAATCCATTTTCATTAGTAGATAGATAGATAGATAGATAGATAGATAGATAGATAGATAGATATGAACAGACTGTGATAGATAGATAGATAGATAGATAGATAGATAGATAGATAGATAGATAGATAGATTCAAACAAGCTATGATCTATATGAATGCACGTAGAAGTATACATAAATAGAAAGAGAGAGAGACAGAGGTGGGAGAGAGAAACACACAGATAGATAGATAGATAGATAGATAGATAGATAGATAGATAGGAATTAACTTGAATAAAGAGATCTAACTGAATTTCAGATGTAATCTTGAACAAATTAACAGCACTTAAAAATATTATCCCTGCCATTTTATAAAAAAAATAATTACTTTTATGAATTTAAGTGATGAAAATATTTACGAATCCAGAATAACTGCAACAATTTCACCATTTTCATTTAAATGTTGTTTTTTTTTATTTTTTTTTTTATTTTTTTTTTACTTAACTGCTTTGTATACAAAAGATTGACGTTCTAAAAATATCCTACAATGCATCCTAAGCAATTTTTTATTGATAGCAAAATGAAACCAACGCATGACTTCATCCAATATTCAACCTAACACGCAACTGTAACACAGCAGAAAGATTTTCTTTCGTTTTTTTGGTTGTTTGTCTCCTTCAGTTATATCAGTAAAGATCTGAAATTGTTGTATCATACAAAAAAAAAAAAAACTTCTGTAAGGACAAGGCATAGAAAATTGATCCCTAATTGTAGTAATCATAGAATCGTGGTTCAGAAGTATTTACATATAATGCTGTATGTCCGGTTTTTTTCCTTCAGGCAAAAACTTTGGATTGCCGATTTCCGAATAATTACGAGCCTCCAACCAAAGATTAAAAAAAAACCTTTTTAGTCAATAGGAGTGAGAAATCGAGCGAAAGATGAGGGAAGAGTGAACATAAAACAAAAACCTCGTTTCAAGATTTGAATAGAAGTGAATGATTCCTAGTAAGCTTTTATCCAACCATTCGTCATTGTGTTTTTAACTTTACTCAACGTTATACTCACTCGCTCTCTCTCTCTTTCTCTCTCTTTCTCTCTTTCTTTCTTTCTTTCTTTCTGGCTCTCTCTTTTTTTCTTGCATAATTTCTATTGAAATTTTCTCTTTTTTTCTCTCTGTTTTAGATTTTATTCTTTCTTTTTCTTTTTCATTATTTTTCTCTCATCTTATCTTATTATCTCTCCTTATCCCTCCATCTATCCGCTTTCTTCTCTAATTCTTCTTCCTGCTAATGGACATTTCTTTTTGCTATTTGTATATCTATAATCTCTCTGACTCTTTTATTTGTTTCTAACGAAATTTTCCCGCTCTCATTTCTTTGCTTAGCTTCGGAAGGAAACTTTCGCTATTCCAATGTGTCTTATATTAAAACACTTTCCAGATAGTAAATTTCTATATTTGATTTCGACCTAAATAATCAGAAAAGGTTTTATGTGCATTAAAACCTTTTTAAGAGTATGTACAATTAAACACTCTTGTATACATAAGAGGAATACAGCAATCAATATATATATATATGTGTGTGTGTGTGTTTTAGTAGTATATACAATCCCAACAAATCCTTTAAGAATTTGTACGAATGGAAAACGTTTAACTGAAAATAGATTTGGTTACGCGTTTCGCCATTCTAGGCTTCATCAGATCCAAAAACAAAAAAAAGAAATGCGTGTATGTGTATTTGTATGTATGCTTAAATAATGAATCTTAATACTTTTTCTCTCATCTTTCCTTTCGAAAGTTATTAATATTTATTCTGTATCTTTTCTTTATAATTCTTAGTCCATGCTGAAAATTGTTTATATATTTTCCCAGTTTTTTTTTCTTTTTCTTTTTTTTATCGAATTAAAGGTAAATCCTCATCTCATTTCCAGAATGGCTCGAAAGCAAGAAATTCATATAGCTTTTTCTGGAATGAATTCCATTTGTCAATTTTCTTAAAAACTTTGTCGGGCTTCTATATCCTATCTTACAAAAATATATTGTCGACACGGAAAACACATGAATAGACCAAAAAACATAGACATCTTTTACTTTCAATCAATTCTAAAGGATTGTATGAGAATTTGCTTTGGATTGGAGAAAATGGATTGGTTATCAAATCTATTTTCAATGAAACATTTTCCATTTGTCAAATTTCTTAATATCCAAGGTGATGGAAAGGTAATTCGCTATTTTATGTATGAATGGCCAGCCAGGAGACCTGTCTTAATGCCCTGTGACTTTTTTGGATGGGGTGGCTAAAGGAGCATATCTACTATACCAAAACAAGACTTTGGAAAAACTTGAAAGGAGAATGCAAGAAGTTATGTCTTCCAGGCCACAGTTGACGCGATTCCTAGGAAACACAAGAAGCTGGTAAGAAATCAGGTGTCCATATCGAATTTTAAATAGAACCTCATGCTAAATACTTTCCTCTTATATCCATTTCTTGTAAAAATTATAGATAATAAATAAATTATATATATATACTGGATTTTAAAATTAAATACATATAAACTAGGGTTAAATAAAGACTTGTGTATTTTAAATCTTTATAAATATTTCAATAGTTAAACATTTTTTTAGATATAGTTAAAAAATTTTATTTTTTAAACAACATCTAAAATATTATTACAGTTAGATTTACGTTAGGAATATTCGAACACAGTGGCGTTCCATATCACATGACGTCCGCGTCTCGCGGCGGACGCTACTTGTAAACAAACAGTTATTTCTGAAGAAAGATTGAGGTCAATCTGAAATATCAAATATATATATAAATAAATAAATACTTTCATAAAAAACATTATTATTTTTTTAATTTGCAACCTTTTCTATATATACATATTAAGAAAGTATACGAGGCTTCTCATTATGCTATATATATATATATATATATATATATATATATATATGATGATAAACTCTCCCAGCGATTTTGATGCAACAAGAATCTGACAACTTGATTTAGTTTTTATACCCGTAGTCTTGAAGCATAATCCCGACACACGACCAGGCTGGGTATCTTTAGTCTTTTTTGGCAGCCGAGCTAGGAGAAGGAGAAAGCTCGACAATAAACCCATATATATATATATATATATATATATATATAATATCACTTTAAGATTTGTAGGGATAATTCAAAAGGAGGACATAAATCCAAAGAGAACACAACGAAAGATCAGAACAATATAATAATGAATACAGAATCCTTAAAAATCCATTCGGTCAGGTGATAATTTATTTCGTAGACTCAGATGTCTATCTCTTCAAAACAATTGTACAAGAGTAAATGCAGTTCAGACACAATGAAAAGAAAAAAGAAAAAAGTGGGAAAGAGAAAAAAGAAAAGGTTTTAATATTAAAATGGAAAGAAAAAAGAGGGAGAAAGAGATTTCAATATGAGGTTTTTTACGGGGAAGAGAAAGAGAGATGGACATTGGGAGGGGAAAGGAAAAGAGAATGAGAGAGGGAAAAGTTAAGAAATAGGGTGGGGGAAGGGAGTGATCATATACAAAATAGGCATTTTAAGCAATGAAACCGTCATCACTGAATTATAACCATAACAGTTACAAACTAATAATAATAATAATATCATTAAAATATTTGACATAAATAGAAAGAAATAACACGGAATTTAAAAAAAATGAAATTATTTCCTTTTTTAATATTAAAACTTTTTCCTTTTTTTCTTTTCTCCTGCTCCCCATTTTTTCTTTTTTCATTTCCTTATGTGTTGAATAGATTGAACTCCATTTATGTTTGTAAAATTGGTTGGGAGAGATGGACGTCTGAGTCCACGTAATAAATTATCACCTGACCGAATGGATTTTTAAGTATTATATATATATATATATATATATATATATATATATATATATATATATGGCGGTGGAGACCAAAATTGCCTAAAAAATTCTTGCATATAAAGGAGAAGCACGTCCCACTAAATACTAGTTCAATATGGAGGAAGACACGTTGGAAGGTGCTTTCTCTCAGTGTTCCCGTGGTTGCAAAAGTCACAATGGTTGTCTCTCAGATGTTGGCTGCTGTGCGCATGACGTGGTATGTGAAGTGGTAGCAGTCTGAGCGAACATGTTCTGCGTTATGCCATGGAGTGCAGATGCGATGGTCATGAGGCTGCATACTTTTCAGACCTTCATTTTAAGCCAATCCCAGCGTTGACTGAATAAAATCATTATGCAAAAGAGCTTGCAAGCCATCACTTACAATTTTTTGTGGTTTGCCACTGTACGGTTTGCCAACCAAATCAAATATATCGTTATTGAACACTGCAAAGCATTCACGACACGTATTGCTTCAAATCGGATAATCGCGAAAGATTTTATCAATCCTTTTCTTCGCACCCACTGATGTATTGGAAAACTTGAAAAAGAATAATAAGCATTGTCACACATGTTTTGTCTCGACCCTTTTTTTCTTTAATAATTTTCATAAAATAGGATAAACTAATACTAATTACAGAACACTATGAACCGAAAACGTGTATTTTTTAGTGTTCAAAAACTTAATGTTTGATTCTTATCATATATATATATATATATATATATATATATATATATATATATATATATATATATATTATTTTTCGACTAGTCAAAGTTAAATTTTAAGTCTTTAATTCCGCCATGAATACAGTCTATACACCGGAGTTGAATAAGACCAACGTGGTTCGAGTTGGTTGAAATAAATCAATTCCCACACGATGTAATTTTGTATTTTGATGTGAAATGTTGCGGATCAGTTTTAATATTTGATATTACTAAGATCCTTCATTCATGCACAATGCAATCTTCAGATAATGACTGAAAACTAACCGGTAGATTATATATATATATATATATATATATATATATATATATATATATATATATATATATATATATATCAGACATTAATGATATTATCTACGGGGTTTGTTAAAAAAATATAATATATATATATATATATATATATATATATATATATAACAAATAAAAAGTTTAAATCATAAATAAATTTAAAATAAGTATAAATAAATGAAAAAATTATATAAATAATATAAACATATGCACACAAAACATACGTCCGCCAAATAAAAATATAATTACAATTCAAATATGCACATCTAAGTAATTTTAAAAATAATATAGATGTACACAAAAATATCCTGGCATATCTACATATGCAAGTATATATCAGGTCATCCCATAAGTTCTGTTCGAATTTTGAATAAAGAAAACAAGAGATCAAATGTTACATTTAATTACTGATTCAATCAACAATGTATTTTCCCTGATTATCTATGACTTCCTTCCATCTATTAAC